CTCGTTCATTCTGGTGTCTGAACGGCACGCTCTCTCAGTTCAACTCCGTTCAATAGGTTGCCAGATTTCTATAGAGCCCTCCAGGCGAAACCCCGGCTAAATCACACCGTAAACAGGCCTTAATATGTAGCGGGAAAAACACCCAATCTGGCAACACCAGCTACCAGTGTCGTAGCCTACAGCCGCGTGCGTCATCAAAACAAAATGCAGCGAGGAAGCCACAGCAGCATGGAGGCGACCGTGGAGGCGATAAAGCAGCAGTATGATCACTTAAAACAGTTTTATGACCAGGTGGTCGGTGAGGATGATGGCAACAATCTTACATTTCTCTGCAAACTTTGCCCGCCGGCTTTCAGTAAAAAAATCCGCACTTAAACCTGCCTGGTATAATTTTCCAGGATTCCAGTATTCCTTTTTAGTATGTACTGAAATGGGATTTCAAATGGAAAAAATTATAAAAAAAAAAAAAAAAAAAAACATTTGCACCTTAAAGTCTACTTTCCTGTTTTTCTTTAAATAATTCCTCATAAAAAAGACCATTCAAGCAGCGCATTTTTCCTGATGTTTTTGAGAATATACTGTAGAGGTGAAAGCTGCAGCTGCTACTAGTGTGAAGTGAATGGACAGCAACAATGGGGAAGTGCTGTCCCCTCAATGCTAATGTAAACCCTGGTTGGATAAGGATTCAAAACTGGATATGAAGATGAAATCTGACGCACAGTTTCAGAGTTACAACTGATAATTGCTGTCTGTGGTTCTACAGTAGGCTATGGTGTAATTGAGCAATATATGAAAAAAAAAGAACTATGAACTAGTTAATTTTTTGGAACTGTGAACTTAGTTCAAAATTTTGAATTATGAACTATGAACTGAACTAGTTCATTTTAAAATAAGTGAACTGAACTTTGAACTAGTTCACGTAGAAAGAGAACTTTCCCAACACTGGTTAAAGCAACTCAATAATATTAATGATTAAACTGAAATAGACATTAACTCTTATTAGCATCTAATCAGCTTAACTTCATAGCATTAAGTTATACAAACTAAAGTCTACAGTGCTGATGATTGCTTTATTCAACAGACTCATGGTCCAAAAAACTAAACTAAACGGATAAACTATACTGGTTTTACTAATCTGAATTTGTTTACCTTTGCTTGAAAAATTATGTTTGAAGAAAATATTGAATATTCTTATGTAAATGTAACATGTCCTTTATAGAGTGCATATGCAACTTCTTTTCTATTGCGATTTCCAAACTCTAAAGAGTTGTCAGCCCAAAGCTGAAGCTTAAGACAAGATGTTAAAGAAAAATCCCAAACGATAATTAAAGCTTAACTTTCCACTGTTGCTATAATCATTAAAAGGATCCTTAAATCCACCTCTGCTCAGCCACCAGGATTATAATCTACCAGCTCCAAATCATCCCTCCTCAGCTGAACCTCTGCGGTGGGGTGACTAAAGCCTGCCATAACCTACATTCCCGCTCCAAGGCAGGCAGCAGAAGGGAAATAGGTCTGTGGATCTCGACCCAGAAAACACGTGCAGCTGGGCTCAGATGGACGAGCATGAGTGATCTCAGAGAAGAGCGTCACGCGTTTACCACAGAGCCACAGGGGAACGCGCTCATGTGGGCCAAAAATCAACGAGGAGCGCTCCAAACACGAGCGGATTGAGAGGATTGGCTCCTGAGCTGGAAAACGACCCGATAAGAGATTTTAATTCAGATAATATGTTCAAGAGGGAGGAATGAGTAAATGGAAATATACTGTAAAAAAAGCAACATCCAGGTGCAGATTTAGGGAAGTCATAACTTCAGTTAAAGGTTTGATTCCAGGACATGAAGGAAACGGAGCGTTAAATAAAAAGGACATTGATAAAATGTACGTTCAGCATTAATCTAGTTTCTTTTCCTGAGCTGTAATCTGTAACATTATTGTTAAAATACATTATAAATTCTTTGCATTAGACAATCTGCTCTAGTTTTATGATTTAAAGCGATTATCTTTAAAAAAAAAATGTATTTTACTGTAGTCCCTGCCTTGGTCTCTACAGCAGACTTCAATATTGGCCTCAGTGGTTCCCAACCTTTTGCTGGTTCCCCTTTTAGTGTACAAAAATGTAGTTAGTGATATAAGCCAACATTTGACTTACTGCTAATGCTAAGTTTTGGTTAAATTAACTGACTTATCCAGAAGGAAAGTGGCAGCCCTTTGCTTCTTTTAAGTTGGCACCATCTTTTTGGGTTTTTTTCAGTCGTTACGCTAGGAAGAAACCATTTCGCAGTTTCTGTCACAGAGCTACTGGTACCTGGCAACACCTGAGCTCCTTCTGACGTAACGTTAACTTACTATTCCTATTGGTGCAGAAATCTTTCATGAAAGTGTTGGCATCATAAGCAGAAGTAGCCTAAATAGTTATACATTTTGGATACATATATCTTTCAAATAAAATTATACTTTATTCAGCGCTTGATTCACCATTCTAATTGTTTTTTTTGGATGCATGATTTTTGAATATCCATTTGATGAAAAAGTTGAGGCTATGATCTAAAAGAAAAATCTACATTTTTTTTTTTTTTAAACTCCTTCCTTCCTACTGGATCTTTTTCTTGAGACTGAAAGACAGACCTGCAGTAAGGCTATATGTTTAAATAGGATAAAAATTATTATCCAAACCAGAGACTGCTGCTGTTAAATGCATACCGGCTGCTCGATCCGTTACGGATTCGGTTTTAAAACAAATATAAATTTAAACTCTCGGCCTACGTTTTCAGTCTGTTCGATTTTGAGCATTCAGATATATAAATGAATAACGATTACAAAAACTGTAATGTCCCATAATATAGTCAGGATGACGTTAAAAGAGGAAACTATTCCCAATGGACAAAAAGAAGCATGTTTCCCTCATTGTGTTTCAGTGATGTGCACAGGTGGTTAACAACATCAGTAGCGGTGCAGAAGGTGTGCTTGTCTTTGCCCACAAAGTCACCGACATGAATATATCGTCTATGGCCATTTTGACGGACTGACGGATATGGGTTGGAAAAACATTATATATATATATATAT